CTTTGGTGGAAAATTGCAGTAGCTTATTCAACAGCTGCCTAGAGCTTTGCAAACATTATTTAGTCATCACAAAATTGACTTACAGTGAGATAAGAAAGTTAAGTTCTGAATAACGCTACGTGGGAAGTTGGCAAAGCCAGGATGGGAATGTAGGAGTTACTGATTACTGTAACATAGTGTATGTGCACAGTGTGGGATCTTCTTTGTTCTGCAGATGTGGAGAATTATGACTAAATATCACGAGTAATAATAATAATTAAAAAATTATATGGTTCTTGTACTAGTTGTTGAAAGAAACTGATCATTCTCATTAAAGTATTCCAAATTCTTTGGAGCCCCTTTGAGGTGGCCCTATGATGGAAAGATTTTTGCCAAATTCCCTAAAAGCAATGCATTTCAGTTACTGAAGTTAAACTTGTGAAGAATATACTGCCTTTATAGTATCATATTAAATGAAAGAAATAGAATCAAAAGTACTGCAGTGTAATACAAGATGAAACACAGTGAAAATTAATGATAATATCTTCCTTTTCTGCTTACAGGAGTGTATTTTACTGCTTACTTTATTCCTCAGAAGTCATTGCTGGTGTGAATAAAAGGAATGTCACACCTTCTAATGTTTGCAAATAAACATGCAGATTACTGTCAGACACTACACTGTATCCAGTTTTCATAGTTCACCAGAATATTCATACTGAAAGTAAAATAGCAGCATTGCTGAAATACATTTTTCATCATGATGGAATATTGTGGCTACAACTGTAACAACTGAATAAAATTAGATACAATAAGAGGACTAGATTTTCATCACAGATCTTGGATATCTTGATAATTTTGGATAGGATATCGCTTTTTTGTCCCAGATAAATCTTTATATACGATGTTGGTTGTTTAAATCAATCATGTTGCCAAGGTTTGCCAGAAAGCAGTGCCCTAAAGCCCTTATTCATATGTAAGCTAGTGCAGTTGTTTAGTAAGTCTAGTTATTAATGAAAATCATTGTGTCTGTTTTACTCGCATATCTGATTGTTTGGGTTTTGTGTTCTTAAGAATGTGAAAATGCAACAGTGAAAATTTGGATATGGACAAAACCTCACAGGGATTGGATTTTTACAGGACACTATGGAGAAAAGAAAACAGTAAAGAGATCCAAGCACTGAGAAGTTTGTTTTAGTTGAGAATACGCAGTTACCTCTGGCAATATGGGGGATTTTCTACCACAGACTTCTTATTCTACCCATTAAAAAACCTCCTTCATTAACTGCTTAATATTTATCTTTTTCAATCTTTGACATCAAAACAAGTTGATAAAGTAGCATGTATTGCAGAAACAGGCCACACTTCATCTGCAATATTAGAAATGTGTCCTTTGCTTGGTCTATTATGCTCCATTTGAACAACAGTCATTTCAGTACGGATAATAATAGTATCTTCATTTCATTCATTAAATTAAATTATTTTTACTTAGATCACAGTTGGCAGTCACTTTAGCAAATCTAGCAGTTTATAAATTGATTATACAGTAGATGTCACTGATACAGCTTCTTTCTTTAAAATGAGTCTACCCAGTTCGTCCTTTTTGTTTATTTGACCCTGACCAGTAGGTTTAGAAAACTGGCATAGAAGCTGCATCAGCCCAGAAATCATCTGCATAGAGTGCATTGTTCTTCTTTAACTCATAATGTTTGTAATTTGAGGTTTTCACTAGTTAACTATAGGGCTTCTGGTGATTGATTGCCTTGGTTTTGAGATGTGGATGTTTTCTGATTCTTCTAGTCAGAAAAGGATCTTTCTAATCATGGCATAATGCAACATATGCTCACTCTGGAGCTTGCACTTTGCTTGTTTGTTGATAGCTTTTCATGAAGGCCTGAAATAATCCATGTGGTGCCAAATACGTTGTATATATTACCCTTCAGAATACACTACAAAGCCCATATCTTCCCTAGGGCTTTCAGACAGGTAAGATAAGCAGATAATAGATAAAATTGTTAGGAAAAAAAAATGCAGACATTGATAGGGAAGCCTGTTTCTTATTGTGTTGAGCTGTGGATCCCTCTGTGTTGTTGCTTTTTCAATGATAAATTCTTATTTGTATTTTATCACAAAGGTGCTGAGCATTGGTCTTAATCTGGAACATAGGAGCATATAGGTGAAGAGGTCATCCCCCTGCTGTTTTGAGTACTGTGTAAATGCAATGTACCCTACTTGATGGAAACATCCCAAATTGGCCATCTCCTCAAAAGCCAGTGTAAGCCACAAGTTACTAACAACAGTGGCCACTAGTTAATTAGAAGTGTGCTCATGCTCTAAGAAGTGTATTATTGGTGTAATATAGCTTCATGCTCTTTGCATTTTCTGGGCCTCTCAGAAGGAAGCTATCAATGGACTTGCATCAGCTGCAAGACACTTTAGGAAATTTAAGACATTTTAGGAGATATAACCTAAAATTTGTCTGCTGACTATCAAAGAGATGAAAGGCAAGAAGTGAAGAATATCCCCCAGAAAGGGTGTTTTGGTACATATCTGAAAGAAAAAAGAAACTGGTTTTGCAACAATAAAGATGAGCTGTTGGCACAAGTAGTTCAAAAAGTAGGAGCCTTTAACTTCTAAGTGTTGAAGATTTCTGTTCCATGGTGACACTGTTATAGCCCACTGACAGAGCATGACTCTGCCACAGAAATGGCGATGCTGGATTGAACCAAGAAAATCAAAGGAGATTCTGATTTATGAACTGTGAGATTAAAAACAGATATGAATAAAAACCACTAAACAGAGGAAAAGTTTTGAAATCTTCATAGGCAGAATGACTGTTTATATATTTTCCAGTTCATTCTGCAACCCCATGCAGTACATTTAGGGAATTAATTTGATTTTAATCGTTTCACAGATAAGTAGAAAGGGAGTTGGGTGAACAACATTCCCTCCTGTGACTAATGGTATTCATTACTTTATCTCATAAATACTTGATAATTTAAATGTAGCTTAAAGTATCTTTCTATTTGGAGGTCAAGTGTTCAAAATAAATAATGGTGCTTCTTAAGAATAAATGTTCAGTCAAAAATGTTTTTCAGGTTATACAATTTTTTGGCCAAGAACCTAATCCTCCATTTCTAATAACTTAGAGCACTATGGAAATAATGACTTTTTAGATGCTGGAGATGAATAACAATGTAAATACAAATACAGCATTTCACTAAAAAATCATCAGAACAATTAAAGTATAATAAACTTAGATAAACAAAGTGCTTTATGCATTGGATGAGTGCTGAGAATGCACTGATAGAATATGGTGCTGAAGGAATGTGAAATGAAATTATACTTACCCAGTTTGTTTTGAGAGTAAGCATTAATTTCTGTTGCTGAAGATTATTTTTGTGTACAGGTACCAGAACTGAGTTTCTTGTACAATGTGTCAAAGCATTTAACTTCTATTAATCTTTGGTATATTCAAAGTACTAGTTTTTAGTGTTTTGACCATTTTTGGTTTTGTTTTTGTTTTCTGAAAAGAGAACATCTTAAACTTTAGTAGAACTGCTTTACTAAAGCCATCAGCTCTTCTTTGAAGTGTCATTATAATAAGAAACAAAACTGTATTTTTATTTCTAGATTCTGAAACTATAATTTTTCCTTACTTTCAGTTGCCTTTCTTTGTTCCTTTTCAGTAGAAAAGCAAAGAAACAACTCTTACTCACTGCTGCATAGCACAAAATTCCCTATCTTTTAGAAATACTTTTTCAACATTTTATGTATTTGCCAAAGGCTTTACCTGAGGACATATCCTTAACTGTTTCTATGTTTAAGCACATTTAAATCCTATGATATCCCATGTGATCTGTACAGAAACTTTTAACTCTATTCTTCACACTATTAATTTCGCAGACTTTTCATTCTCAGAATAGCCCAAATTGCTAATTTAAAATGAAGTAGTTGACATCTTTTATACATTTGAAATAACTTTTACTTATAGAGAAATAATAGAACATAATAGTATCCAATTTCTGAATAGTTATTTAGAAAGCATACCTAATGTACACAATACAGACAATCTTTTTATTTTTATATACTTAAAAGTGCTCTGCCCTTTGACTTCCTAAAAAATAGTGATTTTTAGTTCTCATGCTTTCACATCTGATGCCAATATATTTTACACAATATATGCATATTTAATAAGAGCAAATACAACAGACATCACAAAGGGAACTTACGGGGAAAAAATAGTGTAGCATTTAAAGATATTTAATATAATTTCTTTTCCCCTTCATGATAATTCTTACATCACTTGAATATTACAGGATAAGATAACGTAAGCTACCATTTTTACTGCAGATAAAATTTCTTGGGTTTGGAGTTTCAGTCAAGAAGTAACCACCGTAACCACCCATTTGACCACCAAAAAGTCATTAACTTGACCTCATCTATTTCAGAATTTTGATCAGAATTTTGTTCAGAAAGCCACAAACTTAATTTGAATCAAACTTGTATTTCTTCGACATCTTCCTAAGGTACATTCTGCTATTGTCACCTCTGCCTAAAACCACAGTATTGTGAAGAATATGTATATCCAAATGATTCTGGCTGGCAAGCCCCAACAAGTGGGGTTTCAGTGAAAGGCTGAAACAAAGCTGGGTAACAATTCCTTTCATACCCTGCTAGCCCTGTGTCTCTTAGGTATGTCACCCTGACTACATGAATAGTGGCAGACATCTAAGAAGTGTAATTCACACTTATCTCAAAAAAACTTTTTACTTGCTAGATATGCTTTCCCCGCAAATCTCAAGCTCTGCTATTTGAGAAGTGTCACAGAATATGGAAAAACAAAATTAATTAGCCAGCTCAGTAATGGGAGAAAAATGCTGTTAGGCACTGCGCATTGCATCCAGAAGCCCGAAGGCATGAGTTTTATAAAAATCCTTGTACTGAGGCAGCATGAGTATTTGAAAGATAATGCAAGGCATTCTTTTTCACAGAAGACAGAGGCACACACAGAGAGCAGGACAAGCAGTATAGCTGTCTTGTTTATTCAGAGAATGCCGTGCGAATACTGCACACTGCAACTCCTACTTGGTAAGAAGGAAGCTGTCTTTCTGCTTTATCCTGCATGATGCACTTTCAGTCAGAGCCATCTGGAGGGAGGGAGATTGCGCTTCTTCTGAAAGCAAATAAGCTTCTCTTCCCTGAAGGACAGGATGGAGCTTGCAAAGTCTGCAGCAGCAGTGTGGACTGGGAGAACGCAGGAAATAAAACAGGATTCTGCCTGCTGTAGGAAGCAAACACTAAGATGACCCCTGTAAGAGTATGGAAGGAAAGTTTTGTTCAGAACCAACAAAAATAGCATGAAATTTCTTCAAGATAGAGAATATGTTTACATTACCCCTTATTTAATCTATCACAATTAGTTCTGAATTTTCATTGTTTAAAAAGTTATCTTTTTACACTCTGGTTATTTTGTGCTCTAAACAAAACCTACCTTTAAAGAGTGGGCTCCTTTTGGGTCTTTTTGGAGGTCACTTCAATGGAAGATGTGTAAGTCCCGTTATAGAGAGTCTTTTAGCCTCAGGGAGACTCTATTTTATTTTATTTTTATTCTGTTTTTCATGTTTAAGCTGCTTTTTATTTTCTGTCTTCCTTCTTACCCACCTTATCCAGTGACTAGAGCTCATACAGAGATATGATCTAGTTAAAAATATGTACTATTTTTGTTTTCAGCTGAGTGATTTCCTTAGTGCAGATTGCTGTGCAAAGAGAAGAGAGGGAATGTGTGAATGCCTATGGAGTAAAAGCTGGAACTTTCCTTTTTGCTTCAGCAGGCAGTCAGACCACACCTACAGATGTACTGGAAGTGCTAGGGAAATGACCCAGGCTCTGTAACTGCTATACATGTTCCCAGTCCTCCCTTTACTTTAGCATTTCTCCAAAATGTTAACTTAAATCTCATCTTCTTATAATGAGCAGTTTACATTTCAGAAACCAGCTTTCTGTCAGAAAAAAAGAATGCCATGCTGTTATGCTGCTAACGTTGCATGAGCATACTCATTTAGAGCATTATGTAGTGAAGGTCTTAGCTCTCATTGCTGGATGTGTCAGAATACCCTTTACCATTCTGAAGTCTCTGCAACAAGTGCTTTATTCATTCAACAAAAACAAAGATTTCACAGAGAAAAAAAAAAAAGAATAGTAAAATAGAGAAATGATTACAGAGAAAACTGGAATTAATATTTGGAAACTAACCTTGCAGTTCGTTTCCAGAATCTGAGAATACTGGGAGTAGACCTTTTCCTTGCATATACATCTCAGAAAAATTTGCACTCATCAAATCTTCTAAGAAATCAAAACATTGAAAATAAAACTGAGGCAATGACAGAAAATCTGTCATTAAAAAAAAAAAAAAAAAAAGAAAGAATTATGGGAAAATATTCCAAATACTTTATTAGAAGTGCTTTCCTTTTTTTTTTTTCTCTTATTAATGAGATTGTCAGTTTCTCGCTGTCAGTCTTTTATAGTACTAAATGCAGAGATTATCTCTACGTATGCATGAATGTATATATCTACATAGGTATTTGCTTGGGCAAATGCAAAATTGAACATCACAAAGATCCAAATACCTTTTGGAAACCTCAGTGGAAATATGGATAACTATTTCTCTTCTTCAAGGTTCCAAATTCTTAATTTGTTAAAAATGCTGAACACATATTAATTGTAATGACAGCTTTTGCATAGCTGAGTTTAAGTTTAGACATCAAGTTTTTATCTTTTTAATATTACAAAAGCACATTTGTTTACAACTAAATAATGTATTCTTTTGCATCAATATTATGTAAAAAAACATTATCTGGAATGAAAAGCCATTGGGAAATCAAAGCTCAATATGTTGTGCATGGTCTTTATATTGCACAAAAAATAATTATTTTTCATAGTCTTCATGAGAGTCAACAGAGAATAAGCAACTGCCTTTTTCTAACAACGTAATCGAATGCAGTGGATTTAATTATACTAAATTGGTCATAATAACAGGTAATAACAATATGGCCAATTAGCTTAATACAAACTGTTGTTTTACAGCCTTTTTATAAGATAAAAGTTTAGTTAGTCATGCCACATCTTGGGTACAAATCACATAATACATCTTTTCAGAACTCTGCCATCAAAGGAGACGTTCAGAGGTTAAAATTCAGGATCATCAAAGAAGCATATCTCTGTCATGTAGTGGTCTATTCTTGTTCACTAGGTAATGCAAAAATAATTTGTCATTGCTGCTCTCTTTTACTTGGGATCTCAAAGGAGTTCTTCAGTCTCACTTGTACAAATGGAAGTTTTCTGCTTTATCTTCTGAAAAAACTTGTTGCAGGGACAGAAACATAAAAACAGTAGACTCCAATAACATGCAACATACCTAAAACTTTGTTCTAAATGATTATCTGGGGAACATCAAACCACACATCGATACTAACAGTGGATTCAGGGTTCTACGGCTGCCATGGCCCCATGCCACAGTCGTGGAAGTGATGCTGAGGAGAACACAGACAGGGTATAGAGACCAGAAATAATCCTGACCCTTAAAGATCATATCAATATGAATTCCCACTGTGTAAGTGTCATCCTATGCAGTGCAGTCTTTCTGTTTCACTTGAAATAAAATTTCAGTGTTGCAAGTCTAAATCCAACTCTAAGCTTGCCACTGTCTGAATGTTTGGGTACAGTACTCTCATTTGGGCCAAGCTGTTCAGTAAATGACACTTTACTTGCATCTGCCTGCATCAGCTTGATCAGCTTGAAAGAAATGCATATTTAATTAGTGTAAATAGCATTTAAGGTTGTTACAATTGAGCATCAAGAAACTTAAAGCTCTCCAAATTGCAAAGACAGAAGTGGCCAAAGACCACTTCTCCAGCTAAATATATAGGAGTAAATAAAATCATCTGAAGACTGTTCTCTGGACCTGATGCCAACTGACAGGCCCTAGATCATGCCTATAAAAATACTTCTTGCAGAATACATTGGCAACATTCAGAATAGGAATGATTCCTGAACTACTCTAACCTTTTACTCTAAATTTTTTCAGTTTCACAGGTGATACTAGAGGGGTGGCAACATTTACAGGAACTGGGATAACTTGATAAAAATACAGATGATTATGTGTCAGAACCTCATGTTGTGGACCTTTTTCATTTATTAATGCAAGTGTAACCTTTGTGAAAAGAATAAGGAGGAACCATATTTATTCATTACTTAGAATGTAATCCAAAGATTTTTTCTCTCCGTATTCTTAGAGACCTTTACATGATGCCTTGTCATTCATTTCACTGTCCTTACTTATTAAGTTATCTCACTCTGCAAGACCAGAATGAGAAATCAACTCCAGGAAATATAAGTGCTGTCAGAGGGAACAAGAAAAAAATATGTTGTTGACTCATTAGTTCATCTGCAACGTTAAAGAGTGTGTTACCCTGGTGTCTCAGCTGGGAAAGATCAGGACCAGCAGATGTGAGGAGTCTAAAGTGATGCATCTTACTGCAGGGTGAAAACGTAATGACTCTGAGAGTAACTGATGTTGCCTATCTAAATAAATGTACACAGGGTAACGTGAGTGTAACGGTATGTGGGTGGGGAGTGGTGGCTCCTTTATGGTTATCTGGTCAAGGAGCTCCTTCAGTACCTACCATAAGGGATAAGAAAGGGAGGAGGACACAAACGTGACAAAAAAAAATGAGGAAGGAGTGATGGGAATCAAGCCTGCCCCCCCACACTAATTGATAAGGACAGTGAGACTGCAGGGATGTTCAAGGTTATCTGCTCAGGGACCTCATCAGCTGGGAAACTAAGGCAAAAGGGGGAAGCCAGAAACGAAGTTTACCAAGACACAGAGCTAACAAAGCAAACGTGGAGACAATGACAAGGAACAAACTTCCCTGTCGCACTAATTGATGGGCTAAGGAGAAGCTGCAGCTGCCACTTCAGGAAGATCAGCCTGGAGTTTGAGGCTGGTAAAACTGTGAACAGGGACAGGCAGACTGGGAGAGGCTCAGGAATCAGAGAGCTCTGTTAACCCATGAGGGGACTGCAGGGGAAAGGGCAAAAAGGAGGAGCAAAGAGGGAAAAATGCAGAAAAAAAGTATAAAAGGGGTCGGTTGTGTGTAAAATGCAGCAGTCACTCTGCTTGTCTGCACTCTGTCCTTTCTCCTTACACATCCTCATTAAATCTTAACCAGCTCAGCACTTCCTCACTGTGTGTGTACTGCAGGGGCTCAGTGCCAGCTGCTGACGAGACCTGTGGGTACGGGAGTGAAGCTGGTGCCAGCTACAAGTGTGGGGACCCCAGCCTGTGGTGCCGGCGGCTGGAGCGAGTGGGGGTCCACAGCTGGAGCTCTCTGGATCTGGGGAGGGGAGGTCCTACAGACTTTAAGCCTGGGGACACCATCATGAGTGACAATTGATGCCAGCTGCTGGAGTCAGACGAGGGGTATGGCACCACTGGCTGTGTGTTGTCAGCTACCAGGGTCAGTGGGGTCTCAGTGTCAGCTCCTGGAGCCTTTATGGGTCTTTAACTACCCATCATGGGGCAGGAGCAGTGTGTGCTCCCAACCAGCCTATGGGGGGACTGGCAGGACCAAAGTGAGTGCAGGGCTCAGCATCAGTGGCTGGAGTCGGGCCATGGGTCACAGCCTGGCTGCTGGAAGGATCTACTTGATGCTGGGTGAAAACAGAGGGAAACAGTGGAGGTTGCTCTGATTTATTTTTTTTTTGTAAGCTAACAAATCTACAAAGTAGTGATTAAGCACAGTGAAAATGAAATATGCTTCTGAGCTTTAATTAATCAGTTGTCTTCAACAAAATCAGGGAACTTGGGTGTGTTTTCTTTAGCATATATGATAATAAAACTTCTCTTTCGTTCTTGCAGTTCACAACTCATATTTGACACAGTTGTTTGCAGACCTACTGTGTTTTTTGTTTAACAGACTGAATGCTAACATCACATCCTAAATATTTCAAGGGTAATTAGTGAATTGTTTACTCTTGATCACATTCGATGTGAAATTGCTAGGCAGGTAAAAGTTTCAGTCTTGTTTCTAGAACAAGAGGTTTACCTTTCTTATCAGGAAAACCAGATTAAAAGAGCTTTACGCCACTTTCTCTGGACATCCCCTTTTCCCTCCTCCTCTTCCCCCATTTGTTTTATTACCTTTTTACCATTTTATGATAATCCCAAACATGCCGTTTAATCTTCACTGACAAATGCCAGCAAGTAAGGATATTATGTAAAAGATTTTGGATTTCATAAAGCTATTGTCATGCTTAGGTACCTTTTCCCCAGCAGTTATCAAGTGATTATCTGACCTTTCCGTCCTTCCAACCCGGAATGCATTGGGCAATGGATTTAACACTGTTTAGATAGAACTCATCTTCAGGTTATAATTAATAGGCCCGTATTTAATCATTACATTTATGTAAGTACAAATGAGAAATCTGTGAACTATTACTGCTGGGTTGGACTGAGGCACAATTACCGGTAGCTTACCCAGCAAAAGTGCTCGATTGTTGCTGTATGCATTTCCACATTTATAATTATGCAAAAAGCCCTGTCTTCTTACTTGACCTTTTAAAACACCCAATGTGCTGATTGTAGAAAAAGTATTTTAAAAGCCTGATGGAAATTTCATAGAGTGCATATGCGACCCGGTGATTGTATCATCAGCAAATGCTAAACAATAATGGTTTAAGGTTGTTATTCTAATTTGGCCAGACCCT